ATGCCAACCCAAATTGGAATTTGGTCCAAAACTAGCTGAAAATGTTCAAGTTCACTTTTTCAATGTTGAGCACATCAGGGAAGTGTTTGCATTGATAGAATCAATCAATACCTGAGACCAGTTGAAAAACTAATGGCTACTCATCAAAGTCTTGCTGATTTTGATGAAAAGAACCCACCATTTCCTAGGAGTTCTTTTTCAGATGGACCCTATAACGAGAACAATCAAGACTCTAACAATGCAATCATTCAATCTTTTTGAAAGCATGGAATATTGGTCAAGGCTTCGAATCTCATAGAAATAATGACTAGTATTAGCCTGATCCTAGACTTCCATTCATGTATAAGCATAATTAGGGGATTGATAAAGAGCGAAAGAGCTGACAAGGCTGCGAAGGTTCTACGCCTAATGGTTATGTCAGGTGGGGTTCCTGATATCATCACATATAACATGCTTATCAGTGGTTTACGTTGAAAAGAGCAGTTAAAAACTCACTATCTCTACTCTAGATGACATGAGTGCTAGTGGTTGTCCCCCTAATGCTATTACATATAACACCATAATCAGAAGCATGTTCTCGAGAGGAAAGTTCAATCAAGCAATTGCTTTTTGGTTGAATCAATTGAGAAATGGATGCCCCCCACAAATTATAATTTCTACTATCTTGGTTGAATTAGTATGGAAACATTGTGGTATGGAACAAGCGATGGAGGTCTCAGATGAAATGGAAGTCAAGGGTTGCTCGTTGATGTAGTTCTGTATAATTCTCTTATTAGTTCTCCTTGTGAAGCTGGTAAGTTTGAAGATGTTAAGATGGCCCTTTATGATCTCTTATTGAGGGGGTTAGAGCCCAAGGTGATAAACTTTCAACACTCTGCTCCATTGCATCCTTGGCAGATGGCCAGAGGATGAAGATCTTTTCTCTATTATGGACTGTAATTCAAATAACCGAATTATGATTACTTACAATATATTGATCAATAGCCTGTGCAAGTCTGGTCTACTGGATTGGGCAATTGATTTCTTGGCTCAGATGGTCTCTCAGGGATGCTCACCGGACATAATTACCTATAATACATTTTGTGGTTGCTATGTGCAAGTGGATGAAGCTTTGCTGTACTCCATATTTTAAAATGCAAGGATGTTTCTCCTGTTCAAGTTACATATAATATTGTGATTGATGGTTTGGCAAAGAAGGGTGATATGGGAAAAAGCTTAAGGTATTAGATGAGATGATTAGGGTGAGAATTGAACCTGATGAAATAGCTTATACTTCGCTTAATTGGTGGGCTTTGTAGGACTATGGTGGAAGGTTGTGAACATGTTAATGGAGATGGTAAGAAAAAGATTTAGGCCTCAAATCGGTACTTATAATACAATGATCAAGGGTTTGTGCATTGGGAACAAGGTGGATGTTTCTATAGATATACTAGATGTGATGGTTTCTACGAGGTGTAGGCCTAATGAAGCGACTTACGGTACATTGATTAGAGGTGTGGCTTCTGCTGGTAAGACGAGAGGCCATTGAGCTGCATATAAAGCTTATAGAGCGCAAGGTTCTTAGGAAAGATGTCTGAGAAGACTGAATATGTCGGTGACGTCCTCTCAACAAGATTTTTATGGAGAAAGCTTAAGTGGCCCCTTCATTTTCCGACCAATAGCTAGTCTGAATCTTCAGCTATGCTAGGTATTTAATTATACTTTTTTAAAAAAAAACTGTTTATGAGCAGCATCCTGTTTTTCCTTAGAATATTGTTGCAATGTATTTATTATGAGAAGTGGAATGGCATGCTTAGATTGTGAGAATGCTATATTTTAATATCTATGCATTTTGTCAAAAATATTTGGAAGCATTTCTAAGACCATGCCCTAGTGACTATGGCCTAGCTGATCCTATATATTTTTAATAATGGACATAAGCTGGTGCTTTGAATGATTTATGCATTTATTCATTGAAAAGAATATGGGTGTGAAGTACACATATTTTTTATTCTTGCTCTTCGTGTGTGCGTGTGTTTGTGTGTGTGTGAGAGAGAGAGTATATAACAGGGCGTGGGGGAAATTATATGCAGCAGGGCAGGGGGCGCCATTTTTCATGTTTCGTTTATGATCGCTCTTGGAGAGTGACATGGAGGAATTTAGTACATTAATCTTCTTCCCTCTGTATTATCTTCTTAATTGTCAAAGAATGAACTCGTCAGAAGATGCTTCAACTTTTTAAATCGTGCAAAACATCCTAAATTCTGATATTCCGCAAAAAGCTCAACCTTTTCGCTTCGCTAAATAAATTTTATAGCTTCACTTCAATTGCCTGGAAAGTCCATATTTCCATGAGTCCCGCCCCCTCACATCTCTCATTTTCTTTCTGGTGTTCGTGTATCACATGGCTCTCACCTTTGTGTGCGTATATTCGCCCAAAATGTGTTCTTTCAGGTACATGGAGATAAAGAGGCCATATGGGGCAATCTAAGTTCACCTTGCTATGAGCTTGGGAACTCAGTTCCAGAGTACACCGGACACTCTGTGAATTGCATCTCAAGCAATTGTTACGTCAAAAATATTTTCTCTATTGATTAAATCATTGGTGAAGAAAAATTATATCAAAAGATAGATAAAATTAATTACATGTAGTGGGCATGCTGTACACTTTATTGAGGCAGTTGCTCTCTGTTTCTAGTTCTTCAAGGTCTTCTCGTGGTTCATAGTATGCTCTCTGTAGTCTCTTCTATGCTCTAATGTCCAGAATCTTGATTCTCCAAGTTCTCTAGGATCTCAGGTTCAATTTCTAGAACTCAAATCTCCAAATTCCATCCTTTTTTTGAAGTGTTGTCGGAGTTGTATTACTATAATTCCAAAATTACAACTGTTGGATGAGAGCATGGACAAAAAAGTGGTGCTTGAGGCAGCACAATATAAAAGAAATGGTGCTAGCGAGAACACATTGTACAGCCGACGTAAATACATACAAAGAATGAAAAATGTGGACTCATGGACAAAATGACTGATTAGAGTCCACCAGAATCCTGGTCTATAGGTCCCTCCTTCGTTACTGATCCGCTCTAGAGTTGGCCTCCTGCTAAGTATGCCGAAAGGAGATGTATGCAAAGAAAGGAAATATGCTAAAAAATGTAATGGAGTCGTCATGGGCATGGGCAGGTGGAAGCACCAGAAAGCAATGACATTTTTTGAAAGGTGCAGTTTGTATAGAGCCTAGACTCTAAATAATCAAATTAAAACCTATCTTCAAATAATGTCGAGAAATGTGATTTCAATATTGATTTCAAATTGGACTTCTATTCACACTTGGGCACTTTATTGCACATCCTTACCCTTTTCAGATTTTTCTGCACAAGGCGTAAAGAAGTGGGTACTTTGCTTTGTTCAACTCCCACATTTAGCAAAGTCTCCCCATATTGGTTATTGGGTTATGCCGACTCCCACGTTTGGAGGGCTATCCCACGAGAGTTACAATAAGTATTATTTTTTATATATAGAGATTACAATCATTATTAACCATTAGATATAATATTAGATTATTGGAGATTAATCGATCATTAGGTATTGAATATTGTGATACATTTTAATATATCTGATTTCACATCTAATAGTTAAAAATGGCTATGACCTCTTTATACTAAAAGTAATATACAAAATATAAAAATATGCTATCCTTTTTAATATATACATTTGAAAGTAACTTATAAATTTTCAAAAGGGAAAAGTTCATATAAGGTTGCAACCTTAAAATGTAGAATCACAGATACACCTCAAAAATCTATCGGAAATGTTGTTTTAATGTTAAAAAAACCCTCTAAGTGATCATCGAGATGCATGAATATAAAAAAAACAGTTTTTGAGTCCCGAAAATAGTGCATCTTGCAACACATTGTCTAGACCATCCATTTTCAAGATTTTCATATATTTATAGATCTACTTGATTTTAACCATTTTTGGAATTTAAAATTTGGTAATTAGGTATGAAAATAGATTTTAAGATAATACTGAGTATTTTTTACAACAAAGTTGCATATTATAATAAAATTTTAAGGTGTGCCTTAATTGGATCGTTTAAGGTTGCAACCTTATAGAAACCACACCCTTTTCAAAATAATTTATTAGTAATTTTCATGCTTTAAATTTCAAAAGCTTAGATATTGCAGAAATTGGTCGTGTGTGGTAAAAAAAAATACGCTATCTATTTACTCCTTTATGTAAAACCCTACCTAGAATTAATTTTAGGACCCCAAATTTTGGGAGTATAATCTTTTCAACGATTAGCCTCAATAAGAAAAAATTAAAAATTCCAATTGCACATTTTATACACTTGAAAATAATAATGTCGGGAAATTGAATAATAATCATCCAATTTTTAGATGGTGAGATTTAAGAGTTAGAAAACATATAATTCAAATTTTTTATTTGGGTGTGGTTTCTATAAGGTCGCAGCCTTAAACAATCCAATTAAGGCGCACCTTAAAATTTTATCATAACATGTAATTTTGTTGTAAAAAATCTTTAGTATTATTTTTAAATCTATTTTCATACCTAATTAGAAAATTTTAAATTAAAAAAATAGTTAAAATCAAGTAGATCTATAAATATATGAAAATCTTGAAAATGGACGGTCTAGATAATGTATTGCAAAATGCACTATTTTTCAGGACTTAAATTTTTTTTTTTTTTCATATTCATACATCAAGATATCGAAATGATCAATTAAAAGGTTTTTTCAACATTAAAACAACATTTCCAATAGATTTTTGAGGCGCATATGTGATTCTACATTTAAGGTTGCAACCTTATATAAACTTTTACGACAGTTTTCAAAATTTCAGATTGAAAAAATCTTCCTAGTCAAGTGATCGAGGGAAATAGCAAACTATACGCGCCCCGTGTGAGTACGGCTCGTTACAATTTCAGCAAGGACGTTTTCGACATTTTATTGAAAGCGTGCGGTAATTATCGTCAATTTCGGAAAAGATTGGTGACCCCAAAAGCTCATCGTGCGCTTCTGCTCTCAGGATAAGCGGGCAGTTTTTCAAAAGAAAATCTCTCTCTTCTTTTTCATCATTTTCTCTCACTGTATTTTCTCATATTATCATGGCCGCATCGCTCCTGTTTCGCTCTTCTCTCTGTATAAACCCTAATCAGAGTTGCTTACATGGAGCACCTTTCAACCACTCTTCTTCTTTTTCTAAAGTGTCTATGAATCATTCAAAATTTGTGCTTCCGATTTCAAAGCGTTCAGAATTAGGGTTTTCGAGCTCTCAGCTGAGTGGCATTGGGATTTCATTCGGTGAAACCCTAAGAGGAGCCGTCTCCACCACCTACAGGCGGATGATTCAACCAGTTGCTCGTAAGTAACTCTCTTTCTTTGGAAAATTAGTCCTTTCTCATCTCTGAAAATGCATGGTTTTATTTTAAATTTTAATTTATACCAAGCATAGTTGGATAATTTGCAGGGTTTCATAATGGTAATTTTCTCTTTGATTTCAGAATGATGAATTGTGGTAGTTCCTATTTCCTGTAACTTTTATTCGTTTCTTTGATAATCATTAATTATTTTTTATAATAATACAAAAAATTTAAGCTCCATAAAAGCCCATCACCAATTTTTGATCATCAAACCCTTATATCTAGAGAGAGACTTTAAAATGGAGGAACGGATAATGTTTTGACAGAGTTAAAAGGAATTGTGAGAAATCTCAAACATTTATTTGAACTTGCCATTGTTAATTTCATTACTGTTTATTTCACAATAGTAATTTATCTGGCAATTTCCTTCACTCAAATTTATCTATTATTATCTTCAAAAGGGTATGGTTTCTATAAGGTTGCAACCTTAAACAATCCAATTAAGGGGCACCTTCAAATTTGACCATAACATATAATTTTGATGCAAAATATTCTTAGGATTATCTCAAAATCTATTTTCATATCTAATTATAAAATTTTAAACTCCAAAAATGGTTAAAATCAAGTAGATCTAAAAACATATGACAATTTTGAAAAGGACGGTCTAGATAATGTGAGGTAATATGCACTATTTTTGGGACTCAAAATCCATTTTTCTTTCATAATCATACATCTCGATGTCAAGACCCTCAATTAGAGGGTTTTTCAACATTAAAAAAACCTTTTCCGATGGATTTTTGAAGTGCATCCGTAGTTCTACATTTTAAGGTTGCAACCTTACATAAACTTTTTCCTTTTCAAAAACACTTAAGTAGAACGAAAATGAGGAATTGGAAAACATGGAGAGGGGGTGAGGGAGCCAGAAGGTTCACTTGAGGTAGTTTGCACTGAGTTAAAAGAAGGGCGAGCAGAAGCTTCACTTCAGGTAGTTTGCACTGAGTTAAAGGAAGGGGGAGCAGAAGCTTCACTTCAGGTAGCTTGCCTAGCCTCCTGGTTACAAGAAGGGAAGCTCTCATAGGCTTTCAATGATTTTAAGCCGGACAAGGCATGCTATAGGCTTTCAATGAAGGCGCTTAGACATTAAGGATGCAATTTCAAGTGATTTGTAGTTGATATTTACTGAAAGAAGTCTGAAAAATAAAACATGACAAATCACAAAATTGTGGTGTTAGGCAAAATCTTTTAGGATCTAACTGTCTTCAAACTTGCAAACTCAGAAAAACTGGTAGTACTCAATAACTATTATTGTACTCGTTTCCTTATTTTTTTCCTGACGTCCTCTGTCATAATCAAACTTTTAGGAATATGTTTTATTGGCATCATGCTTGTGCTGAATTGTAGATTTCTGTTTTAATGGTTTTTTCTAGTTTTGTGGGTTTTCAAAAGAAGAAAAAGGTCATGAAGCAGTTCTATCTGAGATAGTTCTATTCTAAAACAAGTTAATGTTATTTTGTTCTTGGTGTTTCAGGGCGCGTCTGTCGCTTTACTGGTAAGAAGGCCAATAGGGCAAACAAAGTCTCCTTCTCCAACCACAAGACCAAGAAACTTCAATTTGTTAACCTTCAATACAAGAGAGTTTGGTGGGAGGCAGGTAAACGCTATCTCAAGCTTAGATTATCAACAAAAGCTTTAAAGACAATTGAAAAGAATGGTTTGGATGCTGTTGCCAAGAAGGCCGGGATCGATCTCAGAAAAGAGTAACAACTCTGCCCATCTATTAGCTCCCACTCTCTATGGATTGTAATCCACCATAAAAAAGTGAGAGAAAAGATTCAAATCATATTTTCTGGGTTTTGTTTTCCAATTGGTTTGAGCAATTTCTTGTTAGAAGACTGGTTCATGTATTTACTTCCCTGTTTTGGCAATGAATTTGTATTATTTTTTTCAGTTATTGATTTTTCTTTCTATACTTCTGTTTGTGGAGATTCTATCCAGTTTTAGAACAATGTTGTTGCGCCTACTGATCAGAGGTCGGTTTGACCCAGACCATAGAACTAAGTGGGTTTATGGGTTTGAGAAGCGGTCCGAACTGGGTCCTCTGCCTCTGAACCAGCTGGTTGTATAAGTGGTTCTCCTATCTTTCCTGCTCTGAAATGTTTGATTCAATTGATTCCTATTTTGATTTCTAGTTTCTTCAGTTTTTTCTTCTTTTTCCCATCCTTCTCTTTAAGGAAGATCTATATCACTTTGAACGGATGTTATTGATTTTCATCATATTTAAGGGCTTTTTAAGAGAAAATCCTTTTAAGATTTTTCTTTAAGAAATAAGAGCTCATGAGATTTTATTTTTGACGTTGGCCCTCCTACTTTTTATAGAGGTATAATAGACTGATTCTCTTTTAAAAACAAAATTTTAAAGCTTCTCATCTCTTACGTTTTTTGCCATGGTTTCTATTTGAAAAGGGATTGGCTGCGAAGAGATCATTTATCTTTTGTACTTGGAGGTCACGATCTTTCTTTATCTCATGTTCTCTTTCTAAAAATGTGAAAAGATGCAAAAATGAGGTTGGGGTTGAGAGAGAGTGGGAATAGACTCCGTTCTCTTTCTAAAAAATGTGAGAAGATGCAAAAATGAGGTTGGGGTTGAGAGAGAGTGGGAATAGACTCAAAAATGAGATTAGGCTTTTAGCGAGGAAATATGAGATGGGGGAAGGGGTTAAGTTTCTAAAGAGAATGTGATTGGAGGCAAAAGTGATTAGATTTCTAAAGAGAGATTATCATATGAGATAATATTTGGGTTGAGTTTTTAGAGAGAATGTGGTAGAAGAGATGAACATGATGTTGGGTGATTTGAAAGCGAATGTGAGAATATGGAATAGTGAGTCGGGTTTTAGAGAGAGAATGTGAGAGAAGAGCTTAAAAAATTAGGTTTTGAGCGAGGCAAAAAAGGTAGGAAAAAACATGGGAAAAAAATAGTACCAGATGAAAAAAACGAGACTAAGAATTTATTTTTAACAGGGGGAAAAAATAGTATATATGCCCCACTACAAAAAGGAGTGGAGCCAAGGTCAAAAAAGAGTTTCGATAAATCCAATATCGTAAAAAAAGAACCTAGTAAAGCGTTTTTAATTAAAAAAACCCTCTATTTAATGTGTGAAATTATAAGTTCTATACAAAATGAGTGGCTGTGATTGTTAGGAAAAGTTCTGATAAGAAGTCTTTAAAGGAGAATATATACGGCGAGGTGGGATTCAAATTCTGCTAGCCGTTTATAGAGAGGATAATAGCAAAGTTAGTCCACTAATTTGTAAATAGATATCAGAGCTATTGCATAACTTTAAGCAACTGGTACCCTAGAATTCTTTGTTGCAGTAGAGAGGACACATGCTCAAAAGATTTTCAGACCCTTACCTTAGTAAGATCCGTTTTGGATGAAGTGATTTTTTTGCCATTCCTCCATGGAATGATGTATTGTTTGGAGGGATAAGGATGTTTGTATTATGTGATTGTACATTGCAAGGCTATTTATTTGTGGCACAAAGCATACAAGACCAACTGCTTTTTTTGTTAGTGCCACAATCAATCACTGATCATCATCATAAAAGTTTTTTTTTCTAACTGATGAGGTTGGCGACATGAATGCTGATATGTCATTTTGCTCTATTAAGGATCTTACTTTTAATAAGATCATAAGCCTTCATATCTTTTCTCATTACTTCCAACCAACTCTAAAATGTTAATAGAGGGAGCTATAGGTGTTTTACATAGTTCAAAATTTTTTTGCTGGTTATCCAAAACAAGGATAATACCACACTGTGTTTTACATTTAACAAATCAACCACAACCTTCTTATATGAAAAGTAAGTAGTTTTATTGTATGTTTTTTATTTTATTATAAAGGAGCAACTGTATTTCATTACATAGCATAATTAAAGTATAATAAAAAGAAAATAACAAAATTTTGTATGGTGATTTTGTTATTCCTTTAACAAGTGCCATTTCTTTCCTTGGTAAATTGGTAACAAAGGGAAAGCTTTCCATACGTCACTACCGGCTAGATATAAGGAATTTATATATGCCATCTTTTTTTCAACCCTTTGATCTAAAGGGATGGCTAAGATGACACCAATCGCAATGCCATACCTAACTAATATTTTATTTTTAGCTTTTGTTCTGCATATCATATCGACACCAAATTTAAGACATCCAATCCTCTCATAGGTTTGTACCTATTAAAAATATTGAAAAAATATTTTTGACACGGAATTCAAAAGCATTTTGGTTATTTTATTTATTTATTATAAAAACATTTTTTAATATTTCTTTTAAATGCACGACATTGAGATGATCACTGTCACACACATCAAATTTCATTTTCATGTGATGTGTAAAAAAAATTAAAAATAAAATACTATGAACCGTCAAATCTAGATCAAAAGTATCCCAGCTATCCATTTAGATCCAACAGCTCGGAGTGAGTGGCGTACATAAATTCCCTGTGCCCAGTGACAATAGAGAACTTTCACTTAATTCTCCCATAACAATATGCCGACAAGGGCAACGGTGGTTTTCATCATTTTGCAGCAAGTAAATGAAAAATTTAAAGCACCCCTCAAACGCAAAATATTTAAGCGAAAATGGTTTCCCATACTCCAAAACCAACTTTGAGGGGGAGAGGGACCCAAGAAAAGCTCTGAATCAGTCTCTACCCCAAAACAAACCCCTCAAGAAAAGATTTAAAATTCCCAACATATTTCAACTCCATGCCCATTTCAAAGTTTGATTTGGGTTTTTATTCTTTTGGGTCGATTTAAAAAAAGGGTGGGTGAGCTTTATTTGGTTATCCAGGACAAACTTCATGGGTTTAAACACTTGTCCTCCCAAACCCAAACTTATGTGTCTAACACTAAGCCTAAACCTTACAGGACAAATATGTGCTGTTCTTCTGAATGGATTGTAGATTTAAGCGATTTGGGGCTCCAAATCAAATCTTAAATCTTAATTGAAGAAATTGGGGTGGGGTTTCTAAAAAAAATCTCCTCATATAGGGAATAAAAAAAGAAAAAAAAAGAGAAAAAAAGAAAAAAAGAAAGAAGATTTTGAGATAGTCCCCCTAAAGTAGTTTTTGAGGTGAGAGGGGCACCACGAAATACCAAATTTTGGGGCACTTGCGTGAACATCCGAAATTTTCCCAATACCGTACTTCACATAGCGTAGTATATACTTCGAAAATTATGGACATCCCCCTGGACCCTAGTTTTTAGAGCCCCTCGCCCCTAAGTAAATGTAATGTTTAGGATACCCCCTATATCTCATTCTTCTCTCATTTATTTTTACACTCACCCCACTTCTTTTTTTGTTTTTTAAATGAAGCTGGTCCGACGTATAGTTTTCAAGACCAACTTTTGGTTTCTATTGAATCCGATTGACACACATTATGCTGGATTGGATTGGCTTCATTTAAAACAATGAATCCAGTCCAACACACTCTGTGCATGAACTACTTCTGGTCCCTATTGAAGGTGCTCCAACACATTCTGCTAAATCGGCTTGATTATTTTTCTTAGGGAGAGAGATAAGAGGCGCAAGAAAGTGTATCTTGCTGGGGTATATTATCAAGATATTATATTATTGAGGCACTAACAGACCGCATAAGAAATTTCTCTGATTCATGTTAATCACTAGGTTTAGGAGGTTACATCCCCAAAATTTAAGGTCCTAAGAAACTCCCATATAGGAACTTGCCAAGGGGAGTGAATGTCCCATATGCTCCTTCCCCAAGAACAGCATGCAGTCTTTTTGCTAAAGTTTAGAGACTACAAATTCTTTGTATATCAACAGAAAACATTTCCAAAAATGATGGAAACAAGATCCACAGGGAAAATCGGTTGTCTGATTAAACAGCAACCTCACAAGTTCAATGTCTATTCCAGCCTTCATAAAATTGGATTAAGCTCCCTCACAAGTTCAATGCATGTTCCCGTATAAACAATGAATTAAGCACTATCAAAATTTCAATGCCCATAGGAGCTCAATAACATTGGATCAAGGAACTGGACTTTATATAGCTTTTATGAACTTATAATGCACAATAAATACCAATAATTATGGTTAAGCTTGCAACCAAGGTTGTTCAACACCAGTACTTTAATCATGCTCCATATATGGTTTGATTGCAAGAAAGGGTATAAAACCCACAATGATGTGGGCGCTAGGTTACAGAGGCACCCTTTTATTTTTTATTTTTTATTTTTTCACTTAGAAATTCAAATCAAATGAATATTTGTGTGTACATGCATGGTGCACTCAATAAAAGTAAAATACAAATAAGTGCATACAAAAATTCCCCAAAATGGCCGTCAGCATTTAAGGATGCTTCAGTCAATTTTTTATTGGAAATAATTTTTTCTATTGGTGTGCCCTGTAAAGATGATGGAGCCCCATTTTTCATGTAAAAATAATTTGTGAAAAAAAATAAAATTTATGGCTCTCGACCAGGCGCAAAGTCCATCTTAACTATTGATGGGTGCTTGTGCACCACTCAGCCTCCACATAATGTGGATGCTATACCATCCCTATTTCAATGCTTTTTTAAAATGCATTCCCCAAGTTTGAAGTGCTTTATATCTGTTGGCAAGTTCAATTGTCATGAGAATCAAAATTCGAAAAAATCATTGATGAGGCCAATTTAAGGAAGTCTATTGCTGATTACTTGGCAATATGCTCAAAGATCGCCAGTGTTGATCATGTTTATAGTTATGCTTTTCGTCAAGAGCCTGAGAACACGTGCATTAAAAGATGCAAACACATTTACCAGGAAAAACACATTTCAAATCACAAACTTACCATTTATGCGGGGTTTGAAAAATTTTAAGTTTAACAAAGTAGTGTGATGCTAATTTACTGTAACAATAACTTGTACACAAGCCACACCTGCATATGTTGCCTATACAACCACCAACTGGAACCAGTTCCTAAAGTGTCCTGAAAATAATTTAACAAAATAAAGCAAACCCTCAAAATACGAAGGGCACAATGTGTTCGTGGCAACTCGCTAACAGCTCTTTTTGATCTCAAAGGAATAATCGAGTTCCAAGTGACATCTTTTATCATCATCTTCAAACTGTTTAAACAATCAGGTTATTCAGTTAGCCCAAAAATGCAAATTATTGTCAACAACAATGATGGATTAATTTAGTCAAACACAAATTATTAGTCCTCTAGAATGTGTTTGCTAAGAAAACAGACAAAAATTCTTTTAAAAAAAGAAAAAATTCTAATAAGGCATACCTTAAGCTTTGCTGAGTAAACTCCTCGAGCAAGAACTCCAGATGGAGTCGTTTCCTCATCTAATGTGTGTGTATATGGCTCCTGCTGGGGTGCAAAAGTCCCCAGCATACCTTTGCTCTCATCGACTGCAAGCCCCAATTCAAATAAATGAGAGAGACTTTCCCTATATGTTCAGTAGTAAACTATTAAGATGAATTAAATCTCTCTCTCTCTCTCCTATCATAATGAGCACCACCAATTGCACTCGCAAATACATGCAGTCAAACCAGATTAATGCATGCATGTAGCAATCATACAAACCCAACAGAATGCACTAGTTAGACACACATTAGCACTTTATTTGCTATTGGGTGCACACATTTGGCAACATTATCTGACAGTTTCCTTACAACTTCATTGATGATAATGAAAAAGGCATAGACATGAAATTTTACGAGCTATTCTACCATAAATGATGGATACATATGGAATAGGAAACAGCTATGTCAAAATATTCAAATGCATATGGAAGGCATGTCAACATGCATATATGAAGTCCATATGCACTTCACCTATGCGTATATATTTACAGGTGTTTCTCCATATGGATGATGCATAGGTGCACAGGCCATGGTTGGCATGAGCAAATACATCTGAGAGGGCTCTTTCCCTCATAGCTAGTCGCAACCATGTGGGGAGCCAAGGGTTGCTGGCCGATGGCTAACTCAAACGAACTGCTATGGGATGCTGAACTCTTTTGCAAATTGTAGCAAAACTGTGCCACATTTTGCATGCATGTGAGTGAGTTTTTATTTTGTTTATTTGTTTTTAGATGAAAATGGTGTTGAGGTTTTATGATAAAGTCTATTAAATTTTTTATCAACATGGCAGTAAGGTTTTACGATAAGCGTGAACATAAAAAATAGATGAAGAGCTCGGACAGGATCAACAGATAAAGAGGAACAGCTATTGATTGGGGTGTCTGGTCAATTTCCATAACCAAAGCAGTGTTTCGGTACATAATAAGGAAAAATAAATCATTTTGGTTCCTTATGTAAAGCTAGGGGCAGCAATGGGCTGACCCAGCCCTGGCCCTAGTCCCTTTTGGGCCGGCCCGAGCCCCCGAAGAGGCCCTAGCCCTGTCAAGGCTGGGCCATGCCAACTAAGATACAAGTAAACAAATGAAAAAAAATAAGGAAAAAAGGGGCTGGGTGGGGCTGTGCTGCGCAAGCCCTAGCCCAGCCCCAGGGCCACATTATGTGGCCCAGGCCCTAGTAGGGCCATGCCAACCGGTCCATGGCCTGCCTATTGAGAAGGAAAAAGTATATATACCTCTCACTCCCCCCTTCCATATAGTGTTGGAATAGGTCAATCCTGAGACAATGTTGTATTGAACTTTGAATATAAGGTTGAGATGATACCGAGATCCTTCTTTCAGAACAAAGGAAATATTGTTTTGGTTCTCATTGATTGATAAAGAAGTATTCATTTCCGGACAATTGTCTGATATAATTCCTAGTGATAGGAACGTAACTTCAGCTTCTGTTGGGCCTGAAACCTCAAGGAGCAGTTATGTTAATTAACACAAGTCATGTTAATTACAAAAAACTACAAAAGATAGTATACTTTCATGTAGAATGCACAGAATAAAGAGGACAAAAAAAGGATAATAAGGGACAACTCTTATTGATCAAGAAGTGACCAAACTTGAATACTAACCATTCAAATTAGTGTCCACCTGCCCAAGCAGCTTTTCTTTCCATCTCCTTAAACTCTCATCATCCTGCCATATGGGGAAAACCGTTACAAGAGTGGAGAAATTCTTAAATGAGCTCAACGGTAATTTCCTTCAGGGATACTTTTTTTTTTTTTTTTTTGAGAATTGCAGGGATATTGGGTTTATGCTTCAAGAAATATCTATATGTGCATCACCCAGCATGTCTTTAGAGTATCTCTATGTACATCACCATGTCTGTATATTTTGTACATTCAATGTGTAATGCGATAACAATTCAAGGTGTTTACTGTGGATTCATGATCATGTGTGAGAGTGCGTGCAAGCGTGCGCACCTACACAAGCTTCTCCCTCATTTTGTCGTTCCTTTCTGAGATAGATTTCATTAAAATACAACAAATGTTACACATACAGAGATTGAAATGAGAGTGTGGATTACTAATCATAGGGAGCAGACATGATTTTCGATGTCACAGGGAAGAGACAGGAGAGAAGGTCTAGTAACATTCGGAAAAGAAAGGTGAAGGTAAAGTATTGCCAAGAGCTAAAACTTCTACCCAGAAAACCCTTTCTAGCTAGAGACCAGCCCCCTTAGTTATTCATTGAAGAATCTCAATCCCCTCAGGCCAACATTTATATATTTCTCATTATGATACTAATATATTATTTATACAACATTCTTGAGATAGATAATTCTGATAAATTACCCATTCTGATATTTAACATAGCACCAGCAGATTTGATTACCATATCATCATTAACAAAATTCCCTAAAACCGGACATTGCCCAGTGATATGCCTCTCCAGCCTCTTGAAGATCGACAAGTGATTGTGATGTCATGTTCAGGTCAATAATCTCGACTTCTAACTTGAATATCCTAGGATCCATTTCAATTCCTTCAGGAAACTACAGTTCATTGGATATTTGTATCTTTTTTTCACAACCAATGAAAAATAAATTGTATAATTTTTCTCAGTTTTCGCTGTATCCAAACAACTAGACAGTAGGGATAAAATCCTTCAATAGGCTTTTCATCATGTCCTGTAGTACACCATTGTGTCTTCAAAAATTTTGTATTCTTAGATACCCCTTTCCCAAGCAAAATACGATCTTGTAAGCTTTCCTACATTTTCAAACATCATAATACAAACCCATAACCTACAAGAAAATATAAAAAGCCATTAGATACCACTTCTCAGTCTATGCCAAACAATTCATTACACAAACTCATTAAAGATGGCCTGCTTAATGGCCACTCACAAAATTGACAATAATGCTGCTTCAAAAGTCTCATATCTTCCCATATCCCAAATGGGTTTTTCAGAAGTCCAGGAAATTTCAACCTCATTCTCCATTAGAACCAAGCATCTTCCATTGCCTTTCACTTATTAAACATGATAGACACTTATTTATGGAAAATTTCATGAAACATAATCTCGTCATCCAGGTTTAAGGATGAATTCATAATGATATTCTATCATATAAGGTGGCTAGTGATCTGCCAAAAGATTTCTGTTTGTAATAAGAGTGAACATTATGTGCATTTTTACATCACATAGGGGCCAAAAACTTGCAGGTTCCTCAGAATCAGCATTTCAAATACTCTTATATACAAGAGTTGTATAAGATTCGTACATTCAAGATAAGGTTTAATTTAAATCTAAATTTTCATTAAAGAATACCAGTTTAGTGTTTTTGCATACTATCTTTAGAAGGTCCCAAGAAATTAGTTTAATGTTCTATAAGGAAGGTGCAAATAAATTTTGTCACTACAAAGTGATAGCATTTCTATAGAGTATAGACAACTACATGCTAACTTTGTTCTCCCAGTGCTATCATTTAGAGGGGTTTATTGGTCCTTATACTACAAAGCAAACTAGAAAAGCTTGACCATACTATTTACCAAAATGGCAAAATCTGACATTTCAAAAATGAAAAAACACAAATTTCCTGCCATTAGCTGCCAAAGTTCCAAACTAAAAGCATTATATTAAATTCCCTAGCTATCTTTTATTTTACAACTTCAAAAGCATTATACAAATCAGAATTTCAATAACAAATCATGCATCCATTGCAACTCCTAAAAATTTAGATGATTTCTGAAATTCCTCTACACTAACTATCCATGACATGCCAATATTCATATTTACATGTTCACAAGCAGGGCATTGCTCGTGACACTAGCATCACCTAAGCTGAGAATAAATTCAACTTTAGAGGGAGCTAAGGAGTTGAATGATATCAAGGAGAAACTAAAGAACATCATAAAACACTCAACAAGGAAATTATGGCATCAAATAAAACAAAAAAGAAAACAAAACATGGAAATAAAGTATTAAATCGCATACCAGTTCGCCCTGTCTTTATGGCATCAAATTCAGACTCTGGCTCACTCTTTATAATTCTAGGTCCCCGAAACAAATGTGTAAACTTCCGAGATCGATATTTGCGTCACCCATTCATCGGCAAACAATTTTATTCCCATTTATTTACATACCCCAATGCACTCAATACTTCAAGCAACCCAAGTCTGCCCTTTCAAATCATTATAGCTTGTGTATTTCAACATGCCAAAACAAATGCAAGCATACACCACACATACCAGGACATGGGGCGGTGCTTAATTATCACAACAACCAATGTTTCCTTCTCATTATCATTATACACCTATAAATTTTTTTTGGGTAATTTAGTGGGTAAGATAGGCCCCTACCCGTTTTGTTCAATAGATTGGGGAATTACATTTTGAAGGTGTTAATTGGGGGTGTCAGCGGTAGGAATGAACACCATGATGTGGTAACTGGGTATGAGGATGCTACCACCACTACTCCAACCCCTTTCCTACCTACATATCATATACATTAATGCCCACATTGATACATTACACACTACACATGTATGAGAAGATACAGTTAATGCTCATAGGAAACAAAGGTCCATTCTTCCACATGCATAGATAGACATGCCCAGTTAGATACATATACATTTGAACATATATGAATGCAATTGCAGTGATGCCAAACCAAGAGTAATTTGATATTGATTCATCATCGCATGCATATGCATACCCAAAGATTCATGCTCATGCATCATACAAGCTAAGAAGCACATGTTGCATCCATTAGACCAAATATCCTTTCCACAATCATAGCTATGCACATAAACCGGTATACCCACATACAGAGAAATATAAATAGACATGAATACAATCCAAGAAGTGTTTATGCCGAGATTGAAATTCTCTTTCCTCCACTGCTGACTAGACAATATTCACATTTACAAGCAAACCCATACATACATATATAATGCATGCATACATAGATACATTCATTCACATACATAGATATACACGCACATGTGCATACATAAAAGGGGGCTCACCTTGTCAAGCTCCAACTGTTGTTTTAGAGGGAGAAGAGGTCCAAGGACAAAATGGTCATCTTTGCTTTCTTCAATATCATCCTCTGAATCACAAAGGGAAAGCTGAGAGGCCAGCTTTTCAATCTTTGCATCCCTCCTTGAACCAGAGCTACTTTCCTCCATTCTCTCTCTAAGAACTAAGAACTCAAAACAACAAGAACACCCACGAAACAAAGCAGCATTCAAAAACTAAACCCACAAAACAAGTGCATTTAAATTTCAAAACGAGACTCAAAAGCCAATACTGGTCTACTTTAGAATGTCTATAGTAGGCTTTTTTGCATGGAGAGAGAGAGCAGTTGTCTACTTCAGTTGTGCATACAAGAGAGAGAAAAAGAGAGATTATACCCAAAAAGTAAAGAGAAAATGGGGACCGACGAGATTTTGTTGTCGAGGAGAGAGGCGCTCGGAAAACTCACAGAGAGAGATAGCGACCGAAGAGAGAGGAATTCGAAAACTTTTTAGAGAGAGAAGGGAAATTTTTGTAGGTATGACGCAAGATACTGTATATATCTAGTGTGAAGTTTTTATAAGGCCTCGGTTTTATGAAAACAAAAATAACGGCTCACCTCAATCTCTATATCCAGAGTAATTTCACCAACAAAAATATCTGGTTTTAAAATCAATTTTTAATACAATAATATAATTTAAAACTCAAAAAATTATACAAATATTGTGAGAATATGAACACTTATTTTTAAAGATGAAATGAACGATTTAGATTATTTGTTTCAATATATATTCTTTTAAAAGCTTGAACTAATTTTGTTTCACAACCATAATGTCCAATCCGAGATGATCATGTAAAGTTTTTTCAATGCTTAAATTGCATTTTTTTTTTTATGAATTATGATGTAAAGATTTATTTATTTTAACATTGCTGCAGCCGAATTGTGATACTTTCTCTGTAATGCGTGACAGGCGGAGCGCGTGGTCACGAGTCAACACAATTAAAAGTTACTATGACTTTTAAATGAGGATAAGATTTCAAAAAGGAAAAAGTTCATGTAGAGCCAGGGTTCTAAACAATCAAATTTAAGCTTATTACAAAAAAAAAATCATTAGAAGAGGTTGTTTTGATGCTCAAATATATTCAAATTGATCATCTTGACATCAAGATATATACAGATGAAAAAAAATGGATTTAAGTTTTGGAAATAATATATTTTGTAATGTATTTTTGGACTGTCAATTTTCAATATTTTCAAGTTTTCATAGACCTTTCGATCTCCACTATTTTTTAAGCTTTAAACTTTATAAATAAATATAAAAAAATGAGTGTGGTTTTCATAAGGTTGCAACCATAAACAATCCAACTAAGGTGCACCTTCAAATTTTATCATGATATATAGTTTTGATGTAAAATGTTTTTAGGATTATTTCAAAATTTACTTCTATATCTAATTATAAATTTTGAAATTTCAAAAATTTTTAAAATCAAGTAGATAAATAAATATATGAGACTCTTGAAATGGATGGTGTATATAATATGTTGTAAGATGCACTATTTCTGAGACTCAAAATCGTTGTATTTTTTATAGTCATAAATCTCGATGTCGAGATGATCAATCACAAGGTTTTTTAACATTAATAACCCTTTTTGATGGATTTTTGAGGTGCATCCGTAGTTCTACATTTTAAGGTCACAACCTTATATAAACTTTTTCCTAAAAATATATTTTAAGTCTATCACAAAGATTTACAATAGGAAAAAATTTATATAGAGCCTAGGCTCTAAACAATCAAATTAGAGCCTACCTCAAAACTTTCACTAGAAGAGGTTGTTTTGATGCTCAAATATCATCAAATTGATCATCTCGACATCAAGATGCATGGACATGAGAAAAAAATGAATTTCAAATTTTGGAAATAGTGCAGCTTGTAACGTATTTTTGGACAGTCAATTTTTAAGATTTTCAAGTTTTTATAGATATGCTCGATCTACACTATTTTTTATACTTTTTAAATTTTATAACTAAAGATAAAAGTATAATTTAAGGCTGTCACAAAATTTTTTAGTATTGAAAACATATTTCTCTAAACTATTTGAAGATGGGCTCTAATTTGATTGTTTAGAGCCTAGGCTCTGTATAAACCGCACCCCAAAGGAAAATACTCATTACAACTTTGATAATTTCGTAAAAGCCGGTGGTCTTATATGATTGCTTTAACATCAAGTTGTAGATCTTAATTGGACGATCAATTTTAACATCTGATTGGTTTTGAGCGGCCAAACTACTTAGGGCTCGCAACAGCCCGGTCATGTTCCTCATAGGGCCGGCCAGGCCTTAGCCCTCTCAAGGCTAGGTCCAAGCTAGAAAGTTTTTAGAAAATGAAAAGAAAAGTAAGTAAAAGAAGGCCAAAACTAAGCTAGCCTTATCAAGGCCTTCGGGCCCTAGTCGTCTGAGCTCACGCCACATTTTGTGGCCCAAACCCTAGGTTTATAGATGGCCCGGTCTACCTGGCCCATTACCACCCTTATAACCGTACAAAAAGCCCAAATTAAATTGCAAAGGTGAAATGTCATTTTCAAAGTAAATGTCCATTAAGGCGCTTAAAAAAGGCAAAACATTTATTAAGGCATGAATTTTATTTTTTTTTGAAAAAATACGATATTTATTAAGATAATAAAAAATTACAACAGAAAGGTAAAAAGAAAATAAAAAGAAACAACAACCAAAACAGGAAGGAAAAGTCAATGTGAAACGCTTAAAACGACAACCGAGACAAAATTAAGTAGTAGCCAGCTTAGCCAAGGAATCAGCATCCGAGTTGGCACTTCTAAAAACATGGATGAAAACGCAATCCTTGTCTTCCAACCTGAGGAGGATTTCATCCGTGATGACACTCTGTCTCTAAGGTACCCTGGACGGCTAGGAGTACCAAAAGACCACATTAGCTGAGTCGCCTTCTATGATAATCTTCCTTTGGGACTGAGTAAGACGTGAGACTCCCATTTTAATTGCCTAAAGCTCAACTTCGTTGATCTCACAGCATGTAGGGTGCCCGAATAAGACCAAATGACATTACCATTATGGTCATGGAGAAGTCCACCATAACCAGACCTTGCCCCCCTTACACTACCATTAAAGTTCAATTTCAGCCAAGCATCCGACGGTTTAGATCAAACATGTCGAAAGGACAGTCGACGATGCTTAAGAAATAAAATGTCGTTAAAGGAGGAGAATATTAAGAATAGCCGTGAGGGGAAGCGAGGCATGTGCCCACTTGGTGGCCATGCGCTGAATGTCTGAGATTAAGAATGAAAACTCCCTAGAACGACTCTCAAAAGATCGAAAGTTTCTCTCTTTCTACAAGGTCCACAACGCGACAACAATAGTAATTCTCCAGCGATGACAACCCAGAAAGGCAAAAGGTGGGTTTCGAAGTCATTGAAGAAAAACATCGGCATCCTGTGACGAAGGTCCATGACAAGCTGTCAAACTATCAACCTATTCCCAGATGGTGGCATCATACTTGCATCTCAAAAATAAATGGTCGATGGTTACTTCATCCTCATTGCACATCAAACATACATTAGTAATAGTCATACCTCTTTGGCGCAACTGATCGACAGTGAGCAATGTCCTGTACGCAAAAAGCCACAAGAAAGTTCTAACTTTGAGTGGCGCCAAAGTGATACCTTTTATCTTCTCGCCTATGGATCATCAGGATCCAATCTATATTTGCCAAGGATCACCTTAGCCTAGAGTTGGTCTCCATGAATGGACAACGTCGATCACCATTTGGCAAGCAATGAGTCATTGACCGCTCTAAGTCTTTGTATACCCAAACCTCCCATCACTTTAGGTTGGCATACCGACTCCCATCTGACCAGATGCATCTTTTTCTTATTCTGGGATCTGCTCTATAGAAAATTGTGCATTAAAGCTTCAATTTAGACAATAACAGCCACAGGCGCCTGAAAGAGAGAGAGATGTAATAAATAGAGGTGTTAGAAAGAGTAGCATTGATCAAAGCATTCTACCTGCAAAGGACAGGTGACATGACTTCCAGCCGTCCAATTTGACATCTCCTCTCTGAATGAGAGGATCCCAAAGGGATCTCAGAGCACTGCCATTAAGAAGGGGCAGGCCCAGATAATTGGTAAGAAATTGCTACACACCACATTCCAGGCAAGGAGCCCAGTCAGAGACTAACGTGGTGGAACAATTAATACCCAACAACTTGGACTTGTCCATATTGATACGAGCCCCTAAAGTTAATTCATAAAGCTTAAGAAAAATCCAAATATTATGGACATTATTGTCTGATCCTTCGTCATCCGCATATTGCAGATGACTAATCAACAAGCCATTGGGCCAAGCCAGCAAGCCTTTAATACAGTTCGACTCCACCAAACCCTGCAGCATTTTACTGAAAGCTTCTGCCATAAGGGTAAAGAGGAAGGGAGAGAGAGGATGGCCCTATCTGAGACCCCTAGAGGCACAGAAATAGCCATTAGCTTTACCATTAACCGAGATAGAGAAGTGAGCAGATGAAAGACAACCTCGAATCCACAATCTCCATTTTGAGCTAAAACTCATGAGAGCCACAAGCCTTTTCAAAATCAATCTTCAATAGCAGACTACTAAGGTCCAAGGATTTAGTGGTCTGGATAGTATCTGGAGCAAGCAAGATACCGTCCATAATGTAACGATTTTTAATAAAAAGCAGTTTGAGGTTCCTCGACGATCTCATTGTCAGCAGGTGAAGACGGTTAGCCAAGACCTTAGCTAAAATCTTGTACTGTCTCGAGAGAAGGATTATCGGGCGAATGTCAGAAAGGGAAGCTATATGATCTTTTTTAGGGCTAAGAGAGATAAAAGTAGAATTAATAGCTGCGGTCACAATCCCATCATTATAAAACTGGTTGAAACAGCGAAAATTGTTGAGCAGAAGGACCTCCCATAATACTTGGAAAAAAGCCAAGGGGAAGCCATTGGGCCAGGGGCCTTATACCTAGGCAGATCAAAAAGAATCTTTCTAATTTCGTCAATGGAAAACTGACATTCCAAGCTCACCGTAGAAGCCTTGGATAGAGCCTTAAAAGGCACAACCCTGAAATCAAAAGGTAGCATAGTCTCAGACAAAAAGGCCTGTTTAAAATGATTGACAATAACATTACTAACAACCAAAGAATCATCCATATCAACACCCGGAATAGATAGACCAGAAAGACAGTTGGATCTATTCCTTGAATTAACAATAACATGAAAATATTTGCTATTATTATCTCCCTCTTTAACCCACTTGGATCTAGATCTTTGGTACCAAAAAATTTCCTCAAGTCTAAAGAGTTCCTCAAGGTCATGCTTTTTAAAATTTATAGCATCCACCTAATCCCGAGAGAGACCCCATTAAGTTGTTCCAAGGAGTTAACGGTGGAAATATCACATTCAAGCTTACCACTATTATCGGCAATACAACCAAATTTAGTTTTGTCCCAAAGCTTAAGGTTATTCTTCAACAACTTAAGCTTACTGGACAAAATGAAACCTAGCTAGATGTGAGGCATAACAATAACAAAAGCCCAAGAGTGATGGACAACATTAACCAAAGTTTTATCTTCCAACCACATCAGTTCAAAGCCAAAAGGAGGGGGTTCAGAGACAATCCCATTAGTATCCAAAGCAATCGGAATATGGTCAGAGGTGTACTGAGGCAAGCCTCTAACCAAAGTTTTTGAAAAAAGCTCATCCGAAACATTAGAAACCAGAAAACGATCAAATTAGAGCCTACCTTCAAAATAGCGTTGAGAAATGTGATTTCACTACTAGAAATCTTTGCGATAGCCTTAAAACATATCTTCATATTTATTTATAAAGTTTAAAGCTTCAAAAATGGTGTAGATCGACATATTTATGAAAACTTGATAATCTTGAAAATTGACAGTCCAACAATGCGTTACAAAATGCACTATGTTCAAAACTTGAAATCCAATTTTTTCTCATGTCCATGCATCTTGATGTTGAGATGATCAATTTGAAGATATTTAGGCATTAAAACGACATTTTCTAATGAAATTTTTGCGGTAGGCTCAAATTTGATTATTTAGAGCCTCGGCTCTATATAAACTTTTCCCATATGAAAATGGGTGGTTGTAAGAGTGACATTAAATAAATACAATGTTTCAAAAGAAAATTTTTGAGACTTTGTGATTCACCCCAAGCCATGCAATTTGACATTTAATGAGTAAGAATACTTGTGACCTCCTTATACAGAAGATAAACGGTCTCTTTGTAGAAAATCCCTTTTTAATAATACTGGCATCATTGACAATAGTCCTACGTAGGATACTTGTGACGTTATAAAAAAAAAATTGCTTTTTTGGTGATGTAAGTTAAAGTTTCCATGCCGACACAATATTTTATGAAACGAATGATTCCAAGAGTGGCCCTCCCCGAATCATTGCCATTTTTTAAGGTTTACAAGGATCTTAGCAACACCGACCTTTATATTAATTAATTTAACGAGAAGTATCCAATACGCCAGCTCATTAGGGGTTAGATAATCCAAGCTCATCTAGACTGTCATTCTCATCAGCTAAAATGTCCAAGAGATTCTAGACAATAACAGGAAGACATATTGCCCCCAACATTTAATAGTTCGGATCATTCCGAACCATTAGACTGAACCGATCTGATAGATGCCTGAATTGGTAAATGCTAATGAGCCTGGCTCATTGTTTCATTTCCCTTAATGTAGAATAGTAGAAAGGGAATGAAATCATGAAAGATACGTGTTAAGGAAAACATAACTAAAAGCCAAGTTTTATAATGAAACCTATTCGTAAGAGTAATTATCCATTGTAAACCGTTGCTTATGATTCTGAAGAAAAATTGGTTTTTACCATGCACAAAAAAATATCACGCTTTTTGTTTGAACTAATTCTGAGTTTCCGCCAAATTCATTTGAACTCAAGAGTGAGAATTACAATGACAACTTAAATTGAGACTACCATCATGAAATGATTTTGCTTTCTTATCTTGCTGCTGCTTTTTTCTCTCTCTTTCTCATGCCCCACAATGAATTTCCCCTTCACAATTTAACAATGATGAACAAAGCCCTCAAGCCTTGAAACAAAAAAGAAAAGAGAAGAAGAAAATGAGCCAACAGAAGAAAAGGCTTACCATTAATTAAAATGATTGAATAAACAACAAAAGGGCACATAGATACATCACTTTGATCTAAAACTCTCTACCGGAGCAGTCTCTTGCAAAAGCACAGCAGCCTGAAAACACTCGAGAGCTTCATTTAAGGACCCTTTGTCTTCTTTATAAACGAGACCCAAATTGAACCAAGCCGAGAAATCTGTTGTGTCATGCTTCAAAGCCTCTGATAAGAAACTACGAGCAGCTGCTAAAGACCTCCCCCCTGATTGCCTAAGAATAGCAGCCATGGAAACCAAGCTTGGGGCATGGGTGGGTTCTATCTCTAAAGCATTGGAGAAGGCCTTCAAAGCTTCAGCATTCTGCCCTTTTGCTTCGTAAAGTGCACCTATGGAAGACGAGGAAATTGAGCACGAGTGAGACAGCAGAACACAGCGAGTTATGAAAGACAGAATGGTTTTGAATATTCATTAAGATGATTGGAAGTATCAGAAAATTTCATGAAATTTGATGGAAGTAGTAAGATGTATTCTTACAAAAGAGAAGTACCTGGGTTTTTATGGAAATTTTCATTGAACAAAGAGCAAGGTGCAAGTATTGCTTAGTATGTGTGCGAGATAGGCAGCAGCATTGCACAGATATTTGAATTATCGGATATGTGTTAGATTCTTGAAGGAGAGAATGACTTGTAGAGAGAGAGAGAAAGAGAGAGAGAGAGAGAGATTTGCAACATGTGTAATTCTAAAAAGAGAGATTAGAGAACAATCTGAATTATATATGCATCACATTCTAAACCACCCCACTTCTTGCATGACCATTCCGTCAGTTTTATTCCCTGATTTCCAAGATGTGTTCTTTGCAAAAGCCATGACAAGCATGCAGAAAAGGTAAATAACTGAAGAATCAAATCACCTGTTGCATGCCATCTTGAAGCGGAACAAGGGTTAATCGCCTTCGACTTTAAGAGACAAACCTCGGCATCGCGCCACTGTGACATACTCATATAAACATGAGCAAGATCATGCCATGTTTCCATCTCCAAACTTCGGTCATCATCTTCACCCTGTAACATAACATCACCAATGGAAATGCAGGATTCTTGAACAGAAATCTCCTCATATAACTAAGAATTTATCTCAGAGAATAAATCTTAACTAAATAAAAAATCCACTCAAGAAAAGGAGAAAGCTATGATCTTTATATAGTAAAAAATATGGAGTGATCTATACATCATCAGAAATATGGAGTACTATGTTACAGCTACTTCAGTTACTTTTTTTGCCTGTTCCTCACTTAGAAGGAGCATCCGACTGAAACTTTTGCACAATTCATAGAACAATATAGCTGTACCATTAGTATATAATTTAGTTGATGCCGTTGCTACATTGTCATTCATTTTGTGATGACATTAGTTTGTCAAAATAGTGGCTACCTCAATTGGCAAGTGCAGTACTCTCATTGCCTGAACTTTGATCTCAACCATAACTTGCCCTCGTACGTAGTCATTTTCTTATTGTAAAAGACAAAAGAACCTAGAAAAAAAAAACAATCTGTTCTTAAAAATTCCAGTTCCACCAAAAACTATGTCAAACCAGTCATCTGATCCAGTTTGAAAAACAATGAGAGATTCCACTCAATGCGGGCCCCTATCTGCTATAGAGAAACTTAGAAAGTTTATCCTCAAATGATAGATGTTGCTGCTGGGAAAATCTTGTCCCTATCATAATAATTTTTTTTGAACATAATTAATGTGCTCAATGATACAATCAATCATATAAATTCATTCCTTGTAAAGCAGAGAGAGAGAGAGAGAGAGAGAGAGAGAGAGAGAGTACGTACTAGTA